GAAAGGTGTGGGTATAATTCCCCATCAGGGCACATACCTAAGATGCAGGTTCAATCCCCAGGTAAACAGGAGGCAACCAGTCAATGTTTCCCTCTCTCTCTCAAATCAATTTTAAAAAACATATCCTCGGGTGAGGATTTTTTTTAAAAAAAGAATTTTAAGTGAAAAGAAAGAAAGAAAAATACCCACATACACCAGCCTCTCCCTGGAAGAGGGACTTTCTAAAAGCCATTCATCTCCATAAGCTCCACTTCCTGCCTCCTTTTCTCTTCAATTAATGAAGCAAATATTTACTTAAGATTCTACCTCTTCGATGTGTCCTGGGTTCACACCTGGAGACAAAGAGGAAGGAAGATCAAGAGCAGTGTGGGGACCCCAGGGAAAGGCGGGGTGCCCCGGGGCACCCTCATGCCCCAGCTCCAGGTGGCCCCCAGCGTCCTTCCTCCCTCCCCTTTCACCTTCAGCTCCCCTCCACCCTCAGAGGCAGGCATTGTTGACATTTGACAAAGGAGGCTCAGACCTTCAGACCCGGCCCAAGGTCACGGATTGACAATGAGAGCAGGGGGGGTGGGGGGGTGGCGCCCATCCTGGCCAATGACATTGGACAAGTTCATCACCTGCGTGGGCCTGGGCTTCCTTATCGAGGGAGATGGGGTGTTAATAACATGCCCCTGCCCTCAGTGTGAGGGTTCAGAGAGGGCCAGCGTCCACACCCAATCAACATCGCTCCCATCTGGATGCCAAGGCCCCCTCCCAGGCCCTTCTCAGAATCTGCGCCTCGGCCCAGCCCCACCGACTAGCAGGGGGAGGACCCATGACTGTCCTGAATGGCACAGCACAGACTGAGCCCAGGACTCGCTCCAGCCAGGAAGGCGCTGGACCGACTGACACAGGGGTCCCTATCCCTTCTGCCCCCACCCTCCGGAGCCCAGGGAGCCCAGGGAAGGGCTGCCCACTGATGCCAGAGGCCCAGATGCACGGGGAGATCAGGGAGGCCCTCCCACGGGTGGGTCTGCAGATTCCAAGGAGCCACGTGGGCCCCAGGCTTGGGGTCCGAGGGCTGATGGGTGCAGGTCTGGGGTGGCCCTGGGCTCCTGGGGCTGGGCCTCGGGGCATCTCTGGAGCACCCCCAGCAGGGTCTGCCCCTGGCTGTGAAGGCAACATGTGCCGCCCTGGATCCCCAGATGCTGGGCTCTCTAACCCAGCGGTCCCCCACCTTAGAGTCCCCTTTGACTCTGAGCCTGGGGCCCAGTTTCAGCTCCTCCCCACCCATGGAGTCCGGGAGATGACCTCTGACCTCACTCTTCCTTGTGGCCCTCCCCTGGCAGCTTGGACTCTGGCTGGGGTCAACCCCTTCTCGCTTTTAGGGGCAGGATCTCCACCCGCCTGTTGCAGCCCCTAGAACCCATCTCCCCACCATGTCCTCAACTCCGGGTCCGGGTCAGGCCCCCCGTTGGGCGATGACCTTCACCTCTCCCCACTCCACTATTCCTCTCCAGCATAACAGATGGAGCTTGGGGATGACCTCCCTGCCTCTGACCTCTGGGCCCAATCCAACCTGCAGAGGCCAGACTCCCACCCATACTCAGCCCCCCCACCCCCCCAATCAGGCCTCCGTCCTCTGTCCTCTGCATGACAAAGGGTGAGGGCTGCCCTCCGCCCGCCCGCTAGCCGGCCCACAGTAAAAGTCCCAATCCACATTCGCTCTCTCTGGCTAATTGCCCGCTTATTTTATTTCCCCGGCAAACGCTTGCACCCCTGGGGAATCCACATTTGGGAACGGGGCCTGTGTTTGCGGAGGGATCAGCGGTCTGGGGGATTTGCCCTGTGTCTGCCCCTGCGATGCCCGCCCTACACCCATCTCCTGTAGGGAGGGGTCTCACCAGCTCTCAGACCCCTGGCCTGCAGCCTGTGCAAACAGCCAGGGGCCTTGTTCCCTTCCTCTCTGTATAAAATCAATAAAATAAATACATAAATAATAAATAATTTTTTTAAAAAAAAGAAAGAATAGTTATAATTGACTGTCACACAAAGCCACAAGTATGATACAGAATCGCGTGCTAGGACCCCATGGGGATTCCATAGCCTTCTGCCTGAGAGGCAACCAAATCTCACGATCCCGGGTCACCCGGCGGCACCTCCCCCGTGGTCTGTTCCAAGTCCAGGCGACCGTCAGTCCAGAGAAGAGCTCTGACCCACACCCGCCACCGGGACTGGAGCACCGCCGCCCTCTC